CATGAATTCTTAACCATATCGATTAATTCACAAACTGAACAACAAACCCGCGTGAATTATGTAAATTATAAGTCATCTCAAAACAAGCATACGCAATTGACATTTAATCTACGTATTATACATACGTATCATACACCTTAAAATTCAATAACATAAGATTTCAAAGTAAAAGCTAATATTTAAAGATAAACATAATAAGAAATAGAAAGCTAATCTGTTTCTATAACTTCCTATGTGTGTGTGAACATTTTTGTAAAAAATTACTATAATTGAATTGTTAAGTTGGCGTACATATCCGTGGATACTTTAATTCTAATTTTATATTATCTTAACAAATTTTTAGTGATTCTTCACAGACAAATATTTATAATCTATTTTTATATATTCATAAAAAATATATATTATGAATATCGTTAATTATACGAGTACAATATTCTCAAGGAGACGTATTAAGTAATTGATTAGTATATTCAATAAAACTAAATATCATAATTTATCAACTACTTACAAAAGCTACTAAATTTTCAAATATAATAAATATAATACTTTATTAAATACAATTTGTAGAAGAATAACATTCTTAGTTTGAACTTTGACTCAAAGCTCTAATATTTATTCAAAATCAAATCCAGATATAATTATAATAAAGGGGAAAATGCTTATAACTACCTTTACGAATAACCATTATATGCTACTTAAAATACCTTCTCTAATTAATTTTAATAATCTCATTTTAGTATTAATATAATTCTTGCGCTGATGAGGGTAATTTCGTTATCTATCTAAGCAAGAACGATTACTTTACGCCCTAATAATAATAAGGCAGAATACTATTTTCTATATTACATTTACTAAAAATTTCATTTAATAATCTTAATAAATGCTAATGTATATTATAGCGGAAATATAATATAAGATAAAATAGAATTAAAAATTTCATAAAATTTCGAAAACTAATACTATTTCTATAATAATAGCATAATTCTTCTTTTTTTCTTCTTTCTTTTTTTTTTCTTTTCAACGCAAGTAATTAAATTGTAAACAATTATTTACATTAATGAACGATAAGCAAGTTTAGACCCGTGATGTCTTATACCAGATTTATTGTACCCCCTTTGTCATAATATAACAATCGATTCAAATTCTTCATTTACTATTTCTATCAATAATACATTTTTACATTTATTAAACAATAACACAATAAGTCTAATCTTTACAAGCTTTTGAAATATAAATTCTATATTTCGAAATATAGTAATATATTAAGCGATGTTATATCTATAATTTTCTATAATATATAATATTACCATTATTATGTTAAACTCTATCTTACATACACATTAGCCATTTGTATTAAATTAATGTACTTCAATTTTTACCAAAAACTCTTTTACAATATTTACTAAATTATTAACACTTACACGAAGTTTTTTTTAACAATTACAATGAAAATTGTGATTTCTTTTAAAAGAGTTAAAAAAAATTCAACGACATTAAATGTGCTAAAATGAGATACACTATATTTACATATAACTTTAACTAATTTACTTACTAATGAAAATGTTTCAAAGTTTTAATTTTATTTTAACATTCTCTCGATCTTTCACTTATATTTATTTTCAGTTTTTCACATTTTTATACGGTCATCAACAATTAAAAAAAAAAACGACAAAAAAATTAAATACATAATTATAAATAGCAATTTCAGTTATTATGCGCATTCATTTATAAATGTCTAACTTTAACTTTCAATGTAATCTATATAATTAAAATTATTAACTTAAATGTAAATTTATATAAATTCATCCCCAACTAAACTACGCTAAAATTAATTATAAAAGATTTAAATTATTTGAAATGTACTTACCTCAGATAGATATTCTATTTTTATTAGAAAATATCACTTATAATATTAAACAGTAAATTATACTATTAAATTCATGTACATCTAAATAGATGAAATATCGTCAAACAAATTGAAAATGAATAAATTATCAGAAAAATCTTACAATTCTCATACTCTTACTCTATTGCAAATAGTATTAATCCTATATATACATAAATATTTGTATAATATTTATATTTTAATAACAATATTAATAATTCAAATATGTGTATAATATTTATGTAACATTAAATCAAATTTCCTGAAACTAATATTTTTATATTTATCGTAACTACGTTTTTACCTAAAATTACATTAAAAATTTTTTAACATTATTCTTATATTCGTAAATGTTAGAATTATAGAATTATAAATGACTAATTAAAATCCATTATGTGACGAATGTTCTTATAACAGTAGTAGAATTGATAATAAAAAAATTGAATTCTGCAAATAGCTTTAATTGAATTTTTTTTCTAATAAAATATAACTTGAAATTCATGCAAGCTTACATATTTTTTATTTAATTTTTTAATCTATGTACTTTTGTTGATTTAATATAATTACTCGAGCAGGTGCTGGCTTTCTTATAAGTATTTATAATCGTTAAAATGTCTTTCTTTATATGTTCATGTTGTAATTAATACTTATTGCATTTGATTTCAATATTTAATCTTAACAATACTAAATTCATTTTAATTATATCGAAGAAATCAACATTATAAATTATTATCAATATTTGTACAAATATAGATCAAGTAATGAATAATAATATCGAGTAACGAATGAAATGAACGAAGAACTTTATTCTAAGATTACTTATTGTGATTATTATTGATATAATTATACAAATATTAATTATAAAAGTTTAACATATATCATTATAGTAGATTTTTTATTTAGACTAATGAATTAAGTTGAATCGAGTCTTAATCGATTTTCATTTGAATTGTAACTATATAATTAATGATACTATTCCAGTTAAATTTATAAAGTAAATTTTAATTTATCGTAAACCCTTGATCCTTTTTTTTTTTTTTTTTACTAAATTCTACATTAACTTATGCTATTGCATTGTATTTATTTGACAATTTACCTTCAATGATTAAATTCGGTATCAATCAGTTATATACAATACAGAATATAATTTACAGAGTATTTTTAACATTAAGAATTGCTTGTGAATTTTAATGAAATTTTGATATTAAAATAATAAATTGCTATGTAATGCATCAGTTATGTAGAATAAATATATTATATCTTGATTTTTTTATTTTATACTAATATAAAATTGTATTATTATTATGTTCCTTCATATTCGCATCACATTTCTATTACATTTCTTTTTAAATAATATCAATAATTACCAGTTTAAATTGATAAAGTAAACGATATATTAATTGAATGTTTTGTTGAACATTAAAAGCGATATCAATTTATTTTCATTTACGATTTCAATGTAATTCAATTCTTGTAGAATAATATAGAATTTGTCTTGAATTAACAGGAAATTGACAATCATATTAAGATACGATGTCTGCAATTATCACAACTAATATTTCTATTGTACTTTAATACGTTACACAGTAGTTATAGAATTATAACTTATACGATTAATATAGTACACGAAAATTTTGTTTTTCAGAAAAAAATTGTTAAATACCATTATTTTTATATTCCTCTTATATGTATATACATATATACATATATAATTATTTTTAAAATCAATGCCCAGTGAGTTGATGATACTGATATTTGAATAATAATAAATCTTTAATAAAGACAATTACTTTTGCTTATAGAGTTATAATAAACTCTCTTCTTAAAAAAAAAACTTTATTTTTTTTCTATTTATCTATTAAATTTTTGTTAATCAATATCGCCTTTACTTATTCTATTTAATATATCATTTCTAAGATCGAATCTTCGTCAACGATTTTATATTATTGATAAATTATATATAATTATATATCATATATGATTTACATTTCTGTATAGATTATGGTATAAAAATAGTCTTAATGTATCGGTTTATAAATTATAAATTATACATTTATAATATAAACAATTGTAAAATAAAAATGTCGACTTTTCATTGGCTATAATCCTTGAGATAATTAGATACTTAAATTTAGCATTTGTCGTTGATTTTTTATGGCATTTTTTTCTCGAAAGTTTGAAATCCCTCATAATTGAATTATACATCTAATATTAATAATATAGTTTAATTATTTTTATATTCGATGATGAGCAAATTTGAATATAACAGAGTTATACAATAATTATAATATTGATAACAATTCTTAAGTATTTTGAAAATATAAAATTCTCCCTAAAATATCATTACTGTTGAGCGTTTAGTGGATATTAAATATTTTATATAATAGTGGTACAAAAATTTAGAGTAAAAATATGAGATTTTTGCATAGACACGGGCGCATATATATATATATATATATATATATAAATAAGTACAATATATTAATATTTGTTAGTTATAAAGTTGCATAATACTGGCAATTATTTCCTAGCTAATTTTAAAATAATTGATTTAATATCAATCGATGGATTAGATATTCCAATCTTTATGCCGATTTAGCAATTAATAATCAGTAAAATTCTAATTGGAGCACAGCTCGCGCAAAATTTTAATGTACATCGGATAGATTATTGGACACAAAAGAAATCAAACACAAATGATAAATGAATGGAAATAAATAAAAAATGTGAATATGCTGACAATTAATATTTCATCATTGAAGATAAATAAATGAAAATATTTAAATGAAAGATGTATTATTCATTAGAATTCCAATGGACGCTTAAAAAGAAAATTACCGTAGTTGTTGATGATGAGCATTCTCAAGTATAAATTAATTAATCGACTTTGATTAAAATCTATAGACGTAAATAAAAAATACATTATGTATTATTTCTATAAATATAAATGGTAATATGCGTTATTGAATGGGCAAAGAGAGAGAGAGAGAGAGAGAGAGAGAAGAGTGTTTATCAAATAATAACAAATAATTTTATTAAACAATTTTTATTTTGAATTTATAAAGTCAATATAACAATTATTTATGTACAAAAAATTATGTGAAAACATTGCGTATCAATAAATTAATAAAGGCTAGATAATTTTGAAGCGCACAAAGTCGTAAGAATACCAGAAATTGGTTTCAGATCGGTGAAGAATAAAGGTTTTATCGTGATGGAGAGACGATAACACTCAGAAATTTGATTTTATTACTTGCTTATCGTTAGAAAGAGACGTCAATAGTCTTTATAATGAATATGGATAAAGAGGGTCCCAAGTAAATTAAAGTGCGCATCATTAATATCGCGTGAATACGAGTGCCTCCAGGATATCTTCGACTGTAATCGGACGAGTCGCCCAATAATTCTACGTACTATTAATAAATGAATCAATGAATAAATAAATAAACGATCGGTCGGTGATGCAGGGACGGAGGGGCTATTAAGCCTCGTTCTCGGCGTCGAGGTGCTGGACCGAAGACACGGTCGGCGTTTCCGGAGGCCACTTGCCCGCCGTTTGAGGAGGTTCTTCGTCGAGCTTGGGTGGATCGGTGACGATAATCGGTCCCAAGAGCTCGGCAGTTGTACCCGGGGCCTCGGTCGTTCCGTTGAGCGCCGCATCGAGCGCGTCCGAAGGCTTGGGAGGCATCAGGTCTGTCGCCGGGATCTCCGTCACCTTCTCACACTGGCGTCCGTGGAAGCCCAAGGGACAAACGCACCTGCGCATGCGTAAAACGAAGAGAGGTCATTAGTAGCTCGGCTCGAGTCTTCAACGGCTCGGCGAGTCGAATCAGCGCCCGATTATCGACAAAGAATTAAGCCCAATATATACGATGCATTTTGAGCCGTCGCGTGACACATTTCTGACGTAGCTCTCTCTCTCTCTCTCTCTCTCTCTCTCTCTCTCTCTCTCTCTCCCCTCCTTTCGCCCAGTTTGCCGAAAGGAAATTTCAGAATGTCG